ATCTGGGTTTACTCTTTGGCTTGCCAAGGAATTCACACAGCAGTAGGCATGCTCACCAGTTTTATTCCAGCAAAAGGGGACATGAATATTGTTCTTCCTCATGGGAGTGTTTAACAATGTAATTGTCACTGTCAGTAAGAAGCTCATGTATGCCAGGAATAGGGGCCAGGGAAATTCCTGCTGTTCAATGGGAGCACTCAGAGGAGCTGGAGACAAGAGAAACCACTCTGTCAAAATCACATCAAATGTTAAGAAAGTAAAAGGAAAAAATTTACAAGTAATAAATATTATGGATAATAAACTAGACTAACAGTAGTACTCCTGATAAATCAGACACTATTTAAAAAGTTGAGACTTTGAGCAAACACACTTTACTGCATGCTCCATGAAGGGAACTTTGTCATGAAGAGAAATCAACATGGAAGAAAATCATCAAGCGCACAGATTGGGGCTCTTAACTGCTCTCTGCAAGTCTGCAATTCCAGAAATAAAACACACCATAAATCTTAATAAAAACATAAAGAATTCACAACATCAGAAATTAAAAAGCCTGTGTGTCCACATGTGCTGATCCTTCAGCAGCCCTGCACAGCAGTCGGCTAATAGCTGCACTCCCTGCCTTTCTTTGATAAGTATTTTAAAAACAAACATCTTCAAAAATACTCCTCATAAACCCTTCTGGAGGAGCCTGGCACAGTTTCAAGGTATCAGAGAGGCTCTGCTGGTGCTGGAGTTCCAGAAACGTGACTCTGCACCTCCAGAGCCTCCTCCCTGCGCCTTCTCCTTCCCCGAAATGGCAGCGCAGGAGGGGAGCAGAGGCAGGAAATAGCGTGAGAATGGGCTCCTCGTGCTGCTTCCAGCCCTTCCTGACCTCGCAGGGTGTGAAATGGGCTGCAAACACTGTCTCTCACATTATTTCCTTTTCCACCCCAGCCACAACCAGGAAGCACCAGCGAGGAGATTCGCAGGGAAAACGCAGCGTAAAATGAAGCACAAAACCCAATGAGCGGCCAAGGGTAACTCAAGCAAAAATTCAGGGATCTGTGGGCTCAGCCTAATATTAGCAACCCTAGAAAAAAGCACTAGAAAACTCGTGTAGTACCCAGGTTTTGCTCTTAATTTGCTGAACAGTTAAACCCAAATGTTCAATGCAGGTTTCTTCAGGCCATCCACAGGCTTTGGGCAAGACCTGCCAGGACAGTGTGGACAGCTTCATATCCTCATGCCACAAACAGCACATTTCCAGGGGACAGATCCTGCTTACTCTGGCTGCTGGGTATTCCTGAGGCTTTAAAACCAGAGCTGCTCAAATGAAACCTGAGGTAGAAGTATTGGCAACAACAGCGCTTCAAAGAGATCGTGTTTGTTTGTATTTGACAGAAGGAAGATTTGACAAACAGGCTTTGGCACATCACAGTGGAAATGGCTCCTATATTTTTAATAATAATTCTAAACAAAATGTGACCCTGTGCCTTCAGGGAAGACATATGATGGATGGTAAATAATATAACAACTTTTGGGATTTTCTGTATTCTAGACACTTCTGTGTTGTTCTGTTTATTATTAGCCAAGAGCAGGATCACATGGCAGCTTCACATGAACACTCTGTGTACATCCCTGCAAGATGCAAGGGCAATGAAATTTGGTCTCCTCACAGATAAAGCTCCCTCCTCACCACTGAAATACAGACACAAACTGGTGACAACGTCACAGACCGTGCTGTTCTAAATGCAGAATTGAAACTGATTTCTTAGTAAGGCCAGTTAAGAAAAGGGAAACAAGCCTTCTTTCCTTTCTCTGCCTCTCAAGACTGTAAAATATGCCTGGGCAGGAAGTACAGTAAAGCTCATGATGAGCAGAGGCAGCTACTCTTTCAAAATGAACAGGACTCCTCTGAAGTGACATTTTCATTTAGGCAGTGCCTTGAGGATACAGGGCAGGATACCAGAAGGGCTCTCCAGCAGATGAGGTTACTGGCCAGACCTCCCAGCTTCACACCTCCAATGATCACAACTGCAGGGAAATGGGAAGCCAGGAAATGGGAAGCACCTGTGGCTTTTGGTGAAGTCGCCTTTTCTCAGCCAACACAACCAGAGACTTGGTGGACCAACAGCAAGAGTGTGTAATAATGTCACTTCTTATGGAAGACACTGAAAGTTGTAGAGATGCAGAAGGAAGCACTGTACATTTAAAGTTACTGCTCCAGAACAGGTGAAAAATACCATTTTTGGACTCCAAACCCCTACACCGGAATTAGGGAAATAAAACACCGAGAATTACATTTGTTCCCACTTTCTTGGGAATGAACATGAAACAGAAAGTGGCTTTTCCCTCACGCTCTGTCCATCCAGGAGAGCTCCTGACCCATCAGCAAATTCCCATCTTTCCTCAGCACAAACTCTGCAGAAGTTTAAGCTGCCTTCTCTCCAGCATCTTTCTTTTACAGGTTCTCCATCCCTGAATCCTGGAAAGCTCTTCCTTCTCCTGGACTACAGCTAAGCTGTCTACATGTAGAACCAGCTTTTATCCATGGAAAGCAGAACAGCTAAAAGACAGGCAAAAGTGATTTTTAAACATTTGGCAGGATATCCTCAAAAGCATCCTATATAAAACTGTGTCACAACACTGACAAAACCTCCTTAAAAAAATTCAGGATGTTAAAGAAGTCCATACCAAGACGAACTTTACACTAAGTGATTCAGTCTTCAAAAAATGACAGGTGAAAAGAATTAAATTTTTTTACAAACAATTCTAAAAAGTTAATTGTTGTGAACAAAAAACATTGTTTAGAATTTTAAGGCAGATCACTGAGCAAAGCATCCATTAACATTTAAGATTTTATTCAACTTTCAAGAGTAAGAAAGGATTTTTCCAAGTCAGACTGATCTTGAAAGACAAATGCCTCTTTTCCATCTCCAACTGGCAGTGTAACTTCCTTGTTTAAAATGGGGGCTTCAAAAGGGGAAAGTGTTCAGAACCCAAAACTCTTCTCTGAAAGAATGGACAACCCCAGTAGAGTTTGATCAATATTCTCCTTTAATCTATTAGCACGAACACCAGTTAGTTGCAACTTGCAGATCCATATTAAAATATCCCTACTTTAGTAAATCTCAGATATATTTTGTATTTTGCCTTTGCCACATTTTTGTTAGTGTGTGCTCACCATTTAAAGGTATCAATCAAGTCAAATTTTATAGGAAGCAGTTTTAGTTAGGTCCCTTGAAAATTTAATGCGATAAAAACAAATTCAGCATTTCAAAGTGACATTAACCTGCATGATAACATTTCGCCATTAAAAAACTCCTGCTGTGCATATTCTGTTATTAAAAACAACATCACTGCATAGTCCAAAATGCCAGAAAGGACAAGAACTATCAAAATTAACAATTAGAAAGCTCCTTCTACAAGACTATGGTGTCATGTATGTTACCATCATATGGAATAAATACTAGAATTATTAAATACTTTTAGAAGGAGACAGCAATTTTTATTTTATTTTCTTTAGGGAAAAAAAAAATCTAATTTGTCAGCAATGTTCAAAGTTTATTTTTGGCTGAACAGCCCACGATGTAGAATTAAGTGTTCCACTAGATGGAGCAGGATGGTAAAGCCATCATGAGGGCCACCTCCCCTGCTGATCCATGGAAAAGTCAGTGTCCAGGGATGATAAGAATTTCAGCTTTCTTCTGTGCATTCAGGGCAGAAAAAGGGCAACACAAAACCCTCCTAGTGCTCAACCAATATCTTTCTTCACAGCACAGAAGGTATTAACAAATACTAAACAGAAACAAACCCACCTTTCCCTCACTTCTATCAGCTTTACACTAGAAACACAAAATCTGCTGGTTGCTTGTCTGAAAATGAAAATATCTGTACTTTTTTACTTTGTAGCAACTGAACTTGCAAAAAGCTCCAAGTCAAATGATCAAACATTAGTCACCTAATGCAAAAGACATCGTTACACATCAAACAAATTCACTCTGGAAACAATGGCAAAACTTCAAAGAGGCTCCTACAGACCTGGAGCTGTGCAAGGCATAGTAAAATTATCTCTCTTGTCTCTTTTCAAACAGAGCTAATTGTTGATTTACCTTTAAGTCTACCTAAACAAACAAACAAAAGAACCTTACAGATTTTATTTCATCAGCTTTTTTTTAAGAGATGCAGTATTAGACAAACTGCAGTTGCCACCATCGTGTGAAATGAGAAACCTTCATTTTCTTGACCATTAAACCTTATTTCAGCCTCTCCAAAAGAAGTAGAGAGAATATAAACTAAGAAAGAACAGTTTTAACCATTAATATTTCAGACTCAAGTCCTGCAATTCTTGAGTATGCACAACAAAAGGACCAGGAATAGTCACAATTAACTCGAGCACCTTGCCATAAAAAATTCTGAGCCACAGTATTTACCTTGCCATAAAAAATTCTGAGCTGGATGTGATAAATAACTGCAAACATGCAGCAGACTCTCAAGACAATACTAATTATCCCAGCAGTATAAATACCAGGAGAGAATGACTCTTTCTCAGATATGTGCATGAAGGCACACAGGCAGAACTCTGGTGACTGATCACAGGCTGCTTCCCATGACTGTCACTCCCATCTCTTTGTTTCCAGTTAAATAAACTGCACTAGAAACCAAAGTGACAAGCAGGTTATTTCCCACCAACATTGTCTCCAACTTACTGCAGCTTGCTGCAGCATCTGAAGCTGACATCTGGAAAGGATGGGCCAAGTGGAAGAAGAGGCTGGAAATTTGGCCCTGAAGACAATAAAACTGTCCCCTCATTATGGGGCCTTACTAAAGCCTATTGAAAGTGAAAGAAGTCAATGCAGATATTGTCTAACTGAACACCAGTTTGTCCCACCTCTCTGAACAGCTGATTACCAAGAATTCATTATGCACCACACATTCCTTTTCCAGGGGTAAGGGAAAGCAAGCATCAGGACACCAAAGCACTGTCATTGCCACGTGCAGTGGGGTGGAGCAGTACTCACTACTGTGCACAGTCAATCAGCTGGTACTCGTTGGATCTCTCGTAGCAGGCTTTCACACCTTCATCCTGCCAAAGTGTTTTTGTGTGTTCATAAAACTCCTGAAATGGGAAAACAGGGTTAAGGAAACGGGTTAGAGATGAAGAAAATCAGCAGATAGTAATGTATCGTTTTGTCTTGCAATGAGCAGGAAATGGAGCATACTTAACAAAAATATTTAACCATGCTTTAGAACCTCACTACGAGTTCAGTTGGCTTTTTAAGTTTGACTTCAATGCTCTGTAATAGTTAACTGCTTCTCAGTCACTGATAGAATCCAACCATTGACTGTAAGAAGGATTAATGCCTCATTGATGACAATTTCCTTAGCATTTTTAATAATGCTATTTGGTAACATTTGTTCTTTAACTTGTAGTGTCACTCTATTTTACATTCATGTGGCTGTCGTGATTTCTTTTTCTTCAATGAAACACTACTTCTCTAGAATTCCTGCATGAATGATAATGATAATTAAATTTTACATGACTTTGCAAGTTAGTGAGGATCTTCAGGGACTATACAGACATCTGTATCTTACTTAACTCTGTACCACTTTCGTAAATTTATTCTTTTACAGTGTAAGAAGACATTGAGCTACAGAAGAAAGACAGTGATACAAGGCTAGATCATGTTTTGTCTCAGCCTTAAAAACTGAAAGCCAAGATATGAGAGCAGACAGACAAAAATGCAATGCTTTAGATTTGTTGAACCCTTAACACAAGCTAACAACACAACCAAAAGCCCTCTCATTTTGCATATGAAAGATGCACTATGGCTCCAACAGTGCATGTGCAACACAGGATTGAACTTCTGGCCATCAGTCTAAGAACTCTGAATACACTTAGAAAGAACAGCAGCAGCCTGGTGACCAAAATACACTGTGGGCATTCCTCTAACCAACAACCATGGGTGTTCCTTGGCTATTTCTCAGAGCTTTGAAGTGTTTTGGGTAAAAGACTTTCATTCTAAGTGGCAAATAATTTAGTTTTTTAATCCAGATGAGTGCAAGACCTTTAAAATTGTTGTTGCATATATTCTTTGTCTCCCCACCCTTTTTCTTTACAGCAGATTTATTTTATTTTTGCTGCTTCAAGGTTCCTCCATCTCTTGGGATATCAGTTTCTCACATTCCTTTACTATCAATGTAGTACAAAGAAAGGGGACACATTCCTAAGTTTCACTTTGAAAAGAGTTTTCAAAGAAATTCACACTCCTACCAGAATCTTTAACACATGAACTGTAGCAAACCCATAAATCCTTTAAACTGCATCTTAAAGATGCATAAAGGCATCTTACAGTAAATTCAGTGATGCTGATATTCAGAGCACCCTCTTCTTGGCAGGTATAAGATGCATATGTGCTTGTGTGATCACACAATTATGAATACCAATGATGAAAGCAGCTCATCAGATGCAAATTTGATTGTCCTTTTATTGCTATTAAGTATTCCCTAGCTGCACATGCACAAAAATGAGAGTAAACACAAAATACACATTTATATTTTGTTCTGATTTCTTTTAAAGATATTATGATGTTTATATATGGTATTAGATGTCAGTTTGTTCCCTGCTTTTGTGAACTGTTCATGAACAAGAAGACCAGTTAAATTTATTTCAGAAGCAGGTAAGAAGATTTTACTTGATTTTTAGTATTTGCAGACTGCATGACTATTTGCTTTTTCTACTAAAGGAAATAGAAGATGAATCAAAATCTTAATTCCAGTCCTCAGTTTTCTGTCTCCCACTTCTGGAATTATGCTCATTGGACACTTAAATTTTGAAGATTTCCAATTTCTTGGCATTTGGGGGACTGTCAGTCACCTTCAATCATATCACAGCACAGTGAGGAAAATACCTTTCTAAAGCAAAAGGGAGAAGGAAGAGAAAGTAAAGGAGAGAGGGGGAATTATCTGCAATCTCACTGTATCTGAACAAAACCCGTTCTGGAGAATGTTTCTATATTTGTTTATAAAAGTAACAGCTGTTCAATACAGAACATCATATGGCTCATTCAACTTATGACTACAAAGCTGGGAAATTGAAAAATGGAATCAGCAATTGTACAAGGTTGTTTTTTTTTTTTGCTGAAACAGCAGCTGATTCAATGGACAAATTGTCAAAGGCAAAGGTAAGTTTACAGAAAAAGCAGTGAAACGTTCTTCATCATCAAAAAAATGTAGATATAAAGTGAAAAAAGTCAGTGCTTTAGTAAGAAAAGTCACAGCACAGTAAAATTCTGTCACAAAAATTCTTCCTCGTTACTGTTTCTCCCTACAACTATGACACCTTGGTGGAAAGCTGATATAAAATAATTATTTCGAAGACCTTCTAAACTCCATAATGCCTTACATTTGAAGCAGTTTCTGCAATCAGATCTCAAAATGGAATGAAAAATAAAACCAGTTCCTGGTCCTAGCATAAACACATTGGTAATAAATAGAAAGCCCAGGGTTTAGTTTACCAGAACAGTTACATATTGTTTAGAAGAGTTCTCCCTGTGTTCTAAGGGCAGTTGTCACTTCTAAGAAAATACATGAATTACAATAATGGGATAAAGGTCACTGTTTGTGTCTTGTTAGGCCAAATTAGCAATAAAATGTTTAGAACTGCCTTTATGCCTGTCCTGCTAATCTGAACTATAACCAGCAATACTTAAGCAATCTTCTCAGTATGGTTATTAATTGTCCATGTGGGATGGAAAAAGAATTTAATTCCACATTCTTTGCACTTCTTATTGGGGTTTCAAAATCAGGATCTACACCAAATAAAGAGCAATAGATCATTATACTAAGATACAGTGGGGTTTCTTTGGGGTAGGTTTTGCTGTTATTTTTGGTCTTTTTTTCTTGTTTGTATTGTGTTTTAAAAAATGAACTACATGACTTGAGATGGTCAAATATGAAGGCCTTTCATTAATACACAACATTTTGTCTTTAGGCCACATCAAATACATATTCACACACGCTGGGACTGATGCTGAGCCACCTCACAGAGCTGAGAACCAGAAGGTTTCACCCAAGCAAGGTCAGAACCAGGCTTGCAGAGCTCATCTCCTGCTTTATTAGAAGCCTCCTTACTGTAGCGACGGATTTTGGAATTAAGACATAGTAGCTGGTTGCAAAAACCCCAGATTCTCCCTCCTCCCCAGTACACCTACACTAACCACAGCTCTGAAATAATATTTAAGAAAAAGAATAACACAAGAAATCCTCAGCATCCCATTTGAGTCATGGAATGTAGCCTGGGGCTACTCTCAGGGAAGGCAAGTAAAACCACAAGATTTGTTATGTATTTAGGTAAAACAGGGGCTTCAGAGGCCACTAGAAAAATCAAGTTAGCAAAAGGGCTGGGTTTTTTGGTTTTTTTTTTTAGTTAAATAGGTATAATTTGTATGAGAGCTCTAAAAATAATGAGTTAGGAAACAAATTAACCAAAAGTAGCAGGAAAATTTCCTGAAAAGAAATAGCCAGAAAACTAGTCCTTACATGTCTGGTTCTTGTTTCCACAACACTGATTCATTTGCTGGCACATTCTAATATAACAGACTCTACAGCAGCATCAACACAGGTTTTTCTTGCACTATAAAATGGAACTCCTAACAAAACAACTAAAATAAACAAATAATACTAAATAACAATTTGGTTTGAGATGACATTCCACAAGTAGATCTGAATGTTCGGTTCCAAATGATCCTTAATATTTGCAGTGTATGATCATATTATCCATTCTTTCCCTATGCATACTTAAAATTGGGGGGAAAAAAATCAAATTATGTAATTTTCTGTTAAAAAAATAAAATGCTGCAGTGTCACAATACACACCCAAGATCCTGTTTAAAGTACAGCTGAAGCTGTGTAAAGCAACAAAAGTCAACAGAAGTGGTGACAGGATGGCACCACCAGGGAAGATGAGGAATGAATTCCTCCTGAGCTTTATGTCAGGATTGGAGCATTTATTCACCACCAGACCAGACTTTACATGTTCCAAAACGTTCACATAACCCTAAAGAGGGAGAAATCCTTGAGGAGAACACTCAAGGAAAGGAATGTCAATGTAACACAGATCTGAAGAGAACAAACAGGGCCTGACTGAATCTGCTCAGGCTGGGCAGGGGCATAGTTTGAATTCCGGGCACAATCCCCAAGAACAGACTCCACTTCTGGGAAACCATAAAAAACCCTGAGAAAATCCTGTGTCTGGATAAACCCTCTCTGGTCTTCCTTAGATAACTGAAGGATCAAGGGCCACAACTTGCTGCTGCTGAGGAAACCTCATGTCTCACGATACCGGAACACCGCAATGGTTAAAAAGCCGCATTTATGTGAAATGTATTTCATTATTAATGTTTTATTTATGAGGCAACAGTTTCTCCACCTGCTGAAAGCTTCCCAACACAATGAGTCAATAGGCAATATTTGTAAATCACTTGTATTCACTTACAGGAATCTCTGCAGACCTCTAGAGAGAAAAAAAATACATCAGTGGAAATGTGGAAGGGATGCTTGGAAAATGGTTCTTTGTTCCAGAATGATCTTGCTGACACAACTCTGGATTAGAAAAGGGGCAATGCAGAGTCTAATCATATTTAAAACCAACTTATATTGGAAAATTTCAGCAAGCTGAATAAATGGCAGCATGAGAACAGTGTTTTTGCTCAAAGTTAAACTACAGAAAGTGTTAAAGAACTTGGCGGTTGAGCACTTGGGTTGTTAAAAAAATTAATCCTCAAGAGACAAACTCCAGGCCTGGGAAAAAAGAAAGGAACCAAGATCTGCTTTTGGGAAGCGTTCTAAAAGAATAAAATACTGGTAGAAAATGAAAGAATATAACTGGACATACTGTCTACAAGGCTTTGTTCCCTCCAGATGTATAAATACTCAAGAGACTTAAAGAAAAAATGTTTCTGAAGCAATGTTTCATAGGCATTAGGATGTTGGGAGGGAAAAACACTGGCACAGTCAATGCCACTGTGACACCAAATTCACAGGAAACTTAGCATGGACATGCAACATTACCTTTTCTTTGTAAAGTATAATATAGGGTGGATCCTTCAACAGAGCAGT